AAATTAACTTTTCCATTTTTTTGTGTATGTGACAGTATAAAACACAATGGACATTTCTCAGATAAACTGAATCTGCTGACCTGGAGTTACTTTGCTGGTAACCCTACTGGGAAAAGACCCCAGGCTTCTTGACCTGTGATAGATTTTCATTAGGACCCTGTTACCATTTACTACTGGAGAGTTCTTTGAAGAGCCACTGTTTAATACTTGAAACTTCTCCTGGGGTGAAAACTTCACCTTTCTTTATATGGAGAATACCCTTATTTATGTATTAAGTAGAAGCCAAACGATCTCAGTCTACTGCACGACATGACAGCACCTAAAATATGTGTCCCCTTAAAGTGTGCCTTGGTCTTGCATCACAAAAGGGAAGGTTTGAAGAATGGTTGGCAGATCAACCATTTCAACAGGAAGAAATCATAATTTTGTTGTAGGTGTATGGTGAAAGTAATTCCATTCAGTCACAGTCAGTTGATTTACACATCCACATCAAGTCATATTACTGTCTGGAGCCATGATTCTTAATTGCTTGAATAGGAGTGCCTTCCTTAGAGAGGCAAGTGTCTCCTGTCATCAGCAATGCTACAAACAGGAATACATTTTAAATTCAGAGAAAAAAACTCGATATAATTGAAACCCTGAAATAACCATAGGCTGAAAAATTTCCCTGGAGACTTTACAAAAGCAGTATGTTTTGATACACTTTGTATCATCAGCTGCTAACCAAAACCTACTTTGATATTTTTCCAAGTACAGGTGTGTTGAAGAAAGCAAGCTAGGTAGAAAATATTTTTATGAATCACAGACTTACGTGCAAAATGAAACAGTTTTAAATTCTGAGAAAATTTTTATCATTATGGGCAACCTTGATTTATGTTTCTTAAGTCTTTGTGCTATTTTACCTGTCCTCACAGTTCCCAGTCTTAGTCTCTTTCCCAAACCAGTTTATTCCAGTTTTCCTCACTGGCTTTCAACTGTCTTGAGCCAACTTGTACACTCCATATCCTAAGGTGCAAACTTTTGCAGTAATGCCAATAAATTCTTTGTTTGTCTCTTTCAGTCTTTATTTGTACAAGCTGTTCCTAATAGCGTAGTTGAAGAGATTCATTTTCTTTTACCCCTTTCCTGTCAATAGTTCCAACATTTTCCTTCCTTTGTAATGAATGTACTTTCATCAATACTGCCTGGCTCTGGCTTTTTTATCCTCTCAGCATGTGCATTGCCTAAGCTCCATTGATTTTTAATGACCTAATAATCTGCCGCATCTCAAAACTGCAGTTGCAAGGACAGGTCAATTCCTCCAGGTGGAAACATATGCAGTACAAATGTAACCACTGAGAAAATCAGGTACTAAAAATCTAACTTGTCTCAACTGAGCAAGCAAAACCTGCATTTTTTCAGATACATCCTAAGGCAAAACCCTTGTGGATTTTCAGATGAAAGGTAAAAAAAACCAAAACCAACAAACAAAGAAAAAACCCACCCAAACAAACAAACAAACAAAACCTCCAAAATTCATTCACGGGGCATTTTTTAAATACTTCATAAAAATAAAGCACTTGCCTCATTTAGAACAAGGAAATAGTTAACAATTATAACAAGTTAACAATTTATCTTACGAGTTTTATTACCAGAAATGACTGAACTATTCTGTCGGAAGTCATCTGTTGAGGAAACAGTCTTGATTATTGAAAAGATTATTTCATCATTTAACATTTTAGCAGTTATAATTTTGAAATAACAAAGACACATAAAATAGGATTTTGTAATGAGAAGCTTGGGAGAGCTGAAAGAATAAGCAATGGTGTCATTCTTACATGATAGGAGGCATATTTAAGGGCTGAATTATATGTGCTATTTTCTGAGGCTGTAATCCTGCAAAGGGAGTTTTCAAAATGAGAAAGATATTCTGAACTTAAATTTGCCTTTACTAAAAAATGTTTCTTTGAAATTTTATGTCTCCAAGTTTAAAAGCTCTAAGTTCTTGGAGCCACATTCTTTATCTTTTACAGTGGGACAGACAGTTTCTGAATGAAGGAAATACATAACATAAATAAGAGTGGTGGAAAGAACCCGAAATCTTTACTGTAAAACTACTTGCTATAAGTGCCCAACTAATTTCTAAAACTCAGAAACAGTCTCTATGAATTAAGAGGAACATTCTTGGAGAATTTATTAACACACAACTAATCCTTCTCCTCCCTTTAGGAACATAATGCAATAGCAGGTGAGCAACACTTTGTCTCTCTCTTGCTTACCTTGAAGGAGCCACAAGTTAGTTTAAATTCTTTGAATTAATTCCTACAACTGTCAGGAATACTTCATTTTTCCAGGCTTCTGAAGGTCAAAGGATTTTCATTTTCACTTCTTGTACTTTAAATTAAATCTTCAGAGTCCTTGGGGTCTTTCAGCCCCCCCACACCTCAGCAGAAGGTGGTGAAGAGTGCAGAAATTAAAATACCCATCTTTTCATCTAAGTATATTTCTTCCATGTGCAAAAGCAGAGGAAAAAAGGTAGTCTAGCAGAAAACATATGGATCCAGAGCATTTTTTCCTTCTACATCAGTCCCTAAGAACAACCAGAACTACGTTACATGCAAAAAGGGCTGACCATTTTCCAAAACAGTCTGTGGGATGGCTTCCTGACTAATTCCTACCTAGATGTGATGAAGTGTTCATCAAACATCTGAATTTTTCATGTCATTTCAATTGGTGTTCATCGGTGGTCCTCCAAGTATAGCAAACTTGAGAGTTCTGTGGCTCTGAGAGGTGTCCCACTCAGAGGGAAATTGCTGGCCACAGCCCACTGTGGTTGGGGAGAGCCAGGGACTTAGGACACTGCTTATAGGGTCACAAGAGAATTGGCTTTAGTCATAGAAATTTTCCATCCTGCTCACAATTAGGGTTGGTACCTTTCTTTAAAAGTTCAATAATACAAATGTTGCACTCAAGTTGTTATTCAGGAAAGAAAAATAAGTCTTCAAGGCTGTTGGTTTAAAAAAACCAGGAGCTTGTTAGTCAACATATGTTCCTGGGAGCAGATAATGTTTCTGATAAGCTCAAGGCCGAGGCCCATGAGCATTTCTGAGATCACTAGGGGAGACCAAGGAGGAGGAGGGATACACCACCACAGTGCATTATTATTCAGGTTTTTTTCAGTAAATTACTCTGTAAATGTTTTGCTTTGCTGCACCCAATCAAGTTTATGTTGTATAATCATTAAATACCTTATTAAGAATAGGTTTTGGTTCAAGAATGAAACTGTACACATATTTAGGCAGCTTTTTTCCTAAGCATGAGACAGTATTCTGTGTCCAGTCTAGAGAAAGAATGATTTTTAGATGAAGAATTTTCGAACAAAGTGAGAACATAGATAATCACAGATCTCTACAAACATGATATCCCTACCCTCACTCAACTGTTCAGGCAATTTTTTTTCTACAGTATATCCCATGGAGTATTGTTATAAAAAGAAAAAAAAAATTACATGCGAAAAGCAGTGATCAAGTTATCCCTTTTGACTGTGGAAGAAAATTATCTCGCTGCAGAAATGTGATGTGGTTGGGTGTAACTCCTTACTACATTGCATACAATTTAAAATCTAGAGTTACACACAATTCAGATATTCATTTGTGCAGTGGGAGTATATGGCAACTATTTTATGTGCTTCATTGTTTATATTTCTGAAAGATCATACTTTCTTTTAACAACAAAAGCAAAAAAAACCCCAAAATATAAAGTTCATCAGGTTTTGAAGCCTGCTTTTCTGAGGAGGATTCAGTTACTGAACATCATTTTTCACATGTAAGTAGTGACAAATTTATCAGTGGTGTTTTAGGTAACTGTACAATTCAGAATGAAGTTGCCATAAAGATGAAGATTGAAAATTTCATTTTACATGATTAGATTGCATCCATTACACTTCTTGCTTATGGTTCTAGGGATAAACTTTGACTTTCAGTTCTAAACTGCAATGAAAGGCTTTGAGTGTTTTTATTGGCACAAGGATGTCAGTAGAGACAATTTCTAACAACTGTAAAAGCATTAAGTGCCTTGGTATCATTTTTTATAAAAGCATAAGTGTTTTTTTTATGTAAAGAGTTTGTTTTTAAAATAATTTCCTAACAGAATAACTGATCTTGTTCAGAATTTTTGAAAAATTTATCAGATGTTATCTTCTGTAGCAGACATGTATTTCTGGCTTCTGTTCTGTCCTCGTCTTCTACTGTTATACTAATCAATTTTGTTGATTCCTCTTGACTTGAAGCAATAGAAAAGAAATGTGAATTCTGTGCTTGTAACAGTCACCTGGCTTCTAAAGAATGAATATAAGGGGGCCTTTGCAGAAAAGAGAAATCAACAGTAATGCACTTCTGCTTGGTTTTAAAAAGTTATGATTTCGCATGAGTTTTCTGAGCTTTTCCAGCTTCCTGGAATGGTTTTCACAAAATGTATGTCTGTGGATTGCTCAAACCTGGCATTGCATGTGATGTAAAGGTTTGTTGCATTTGGGTTTTTTAAATATCATGTTTTCCATAGATTTTCTGCAATGTCAGCATGTAACGTGCTGCTTTTTTGAGTATATTATTTTACTAGCTGCTTTGGAAAATAAATATCTCTCATTTCCAAGAGAATATAGTTAAACAAGAAACAGTAAAGTAGAAATGAAAAAGCAGAATATTTAATAAAAGACACATATAACAGCGCTCTACAGGTATAATTATTTACTAATTGGAATACTTGGTAGGTATTTTGAATTCCAGTGTAAAATATGTAATTTATAATAAGAATTTAATACATTTTTTTATTTCGGTCCAACTTGGTCAGTAAACTGATTTTACGCTACTAAGTACTTCTATACATTAGCCACATGATTTTCTTTGCTTGTTTTATAAACAGGTGAGGTTTTTATAGAAAACTATGATGTTCCATTTATTCCTTTGTTGAATTGTCTGACCAGACGCCATTTTCATCGCACTTAAAATTTTGGTTTTGATCAGTTTTTAGAAACTGTTGAACAAAAGACATTTAGCAGCACGCGGATGGGGTCTGAAATGGATCTTGAAAACTACCAAACTGCTTTAGAGGAAGTACTCACTTGGCTTCTCTCTGCTGAAGATTCATTACAAGCACAAGGAGATATATCCAATGATGTAGAAGTTGTTAAAGAACAGTTTCACACCCATGAGGTAAATGTTTATACTAATCTTTCAGTACTCACTTATATGCTTTTATCCTATATTAAGGTCAAAAACACAAACCAAAAATATGTCTAGTTTATTTTATTCCTTTTTTCCTTCTTTTTTTTTTTTTTTTTGTGTGTGTGTTTTATTTGTTTGTTTGTTTTGTTGTGGGGTTTTGTTTGGGTTTTTTGTTTGGTTGGTTTTGGGTTCTGTTTCATTTTTTATTTTGATCTGGAGAATTTAAACATAGTACTGGTGAGTGTGCCCTAAAATCACAGAATTATTTAGGTTGGAAAAGACCTTTAATATGATCAAATCCAACCATTTATCTAACACTGTCAAGTCCACCACTTAGCCATGTCCCTAAGGGCTGCATCTACATGTTCAAGGACAGTGACTCAACCACCTCCCTGGGCAGCCTGTTTCAGTGCTTGGCAACATTCAGTGGAGATGTTTTTTCCTGATGTCCAATCTAAACCTCACCTGGTGCAACTTGAGGCCATTTCCTCTCATTCTATCATTTGTTACTACACCCACGTCATTACAACCTTTTTTTCAGGAGTTACAGGGATCAATAAGTTCACCCTTCAGCCTCTTTTTCTCCAGGCTACTTTTTGCTCTGTGAAGAAAGTGAAAGTGTTTATTTCTGGTTCATGTTACAAGGTTTGGGTAGAGGTTGAAAAAATTAAAAATCATGCTTGCAAAATGGTGGAATTCTGTTCTTTCCTTCCAAAGAATCTAACTTAAAAGTGGATTTTTTTTCCTCAGGGATTTATGATGGAGTTAACAGCTCATCAAGGACGTGTTGGTAATGTTTTGCAAGTTGGAAGTCAACTTCTAGCGATGGGAAAACTTTCAGATGATGAAGAGAATGAAATCCAAGAACAAATGAATCTACTTAATTCTCGATGGGAAAGTCTCAGGGTAGCAAGTATGGAAAAACAAAGCAAGTAAGTAATATGTCAGGTAAAATAATATATATTGATTTTGACTGAAACAATCCCGAACTTGACTAACAGTTGGGATTTTCCTTCAGTTCACTGTGAAAAAAAACTCCATCATGTATCTGTGTTAATCTGAGACTTGATATGCAGTGACTTTGAAACTTGTGTGGTTTTAGACCCTTGAAGACCAATAATACTTCAACCAAAATTTATATAACCTTCCTCACATTTTTCCAATTGTTTCAACAAATATTGTATCACATATTGTATCTAGCTTCAAAGGAGAGAATCTTTACAAAAATACGAAAGCATTGCAACAGACCACCCAGGGAAGTGGTAGAGTCCTCATCCCTTGAAATATTCAAAAAACGTGTGGATATGGCACTTGAGAATACAGTTTAATGGCAAACATAAGGTGGTGCTAAGACTGACTGTTGGACTTTGATTTCCAAACTTAATGATTCTATAAGTCCAAGAAAAGATTTAGGGGAGATATGTGATCTCCTAAAACAGCATCTTATCATCTCCTTTTTTCCACTGCTGGAGATCAAATATTAGTCTGCACATGCCCACTGCTCTGGAGAAGAAATACTGGTCTGTGTGTCATTGGTCTGACCTCATACAAATGTGTTATGTTATCAAGTTCTCTGTTGAACTACTCTGACCTCCAGCTGTTTTCAGCTGAGGGTAACATTGAGATGGAAGAGGTTTTGAATATTTGGTAAGGTACTATGAATTTTATTCTTTTTTTCTTCCATCTTTTTTTTTTGATATCCTCTTGAATCTGTTAGCATGCATGGCATGGTTTGGCAGTGAATTCCAAAAGCCTCTTAGCCAATGAGTGCTACCTTTTGAAGAATGACTTATTTTAGTTTTTTTGTCACTGGTGGCTTAAGTGATTCCCTTTAGTAACTCTATTACAAGTGAGAGTCAACAGAATATATTTTCTTACTGTCTTCATAAATATGTATTGAATATATTTGGTTATTCATCTTGCTCCTCTTTGGGCTTTCTCCAGTTGTAACCTACCTTTTTGGAGTTGAGGGGTTTGTCCACAATATTAAAAAGCAAACTGTGATTTTCAACAATTGCATGACATTACTCTCTTTTTTTGCAGTATGTTCTTAGTAATTCCAAGCACTGGTTTTCTTTTCAGCTTGCTACTGGGTATTGAGACTGTTTTCTGTATTCCATCTTCCTTTGACTATAAAGGAAAAAAAGGGTCTCAGATGTTTCAACCTAACTTATTCTAGCTCTATTATTTTCTTGGAGAAAAAAATCTATGATGTTTTGCTGTAGGCAGTTTTTATTCGCCATATTTATTTTCATTTATATCAACACATGCTAGTAGCCACCTCACCTCAATGAGTTGAATTATGCCTATATACTCTACACGGTTAAAATGTCCTTCAACACCAATTGTTAAACTTATCTCTCAGATTCAGCTGTAGGACCTTGCTTGGGGAATTGAATGATCTAGTATCTTTTGAAGCATGCCATATTTGGGTAATATGAATTCAGTAGAAGACACAGAATGATATAGGCTTCACAGAGAATGTTATGCTACTATTTAATTTCCTATAGAAAAAAAATCTGTGATAAATTCAATGAAATTTAGGTAAGGGCAAGAGAAAATTTCTCAGGAGTGACATTCTTACATATAGCTAATTTTGACCTAATTGATCAAACCCCTGTTATTCAAGCACCAGCTATAAGATTATGAATAGCTTTCATGTCACAATATAATATGTTTCTAGGTTATTATACATAATTTGAACTCTCAGGATCCATCTTCTGCTTCAGCTTAAGGCACAATCTTCTGAGCACATTGCTATAATCTAGTCCCTAAGGCAACAGCAACATGTTTATCCAAACAGAGATGGTTTTTGTGAGGATGAGAACAGCAAGGCTGTCTGACCTCTGTTGTAATGGTAATAGGAAATGTAACAAAAGGTACAACACTTTACAGCACAGGGAAACCAAAAGCAACAGGGAGAGGAGAAAGATATACTGATAAAGGGTACTATAAAAATGAAAGGGTCTTAAGAAAAGTGATTTAGTAGATCAGAATGTCAGAGGAAGTTCATAGCATAGCAATGCCTCTGTGTAAAAGCAGCCCATATTGAATTTCCTATGTATTCACTATGTATTGAAAATATTTGACTCTTATAGCAATGCTGAAGGAAAAAAGCCTGTTTTTTGATTTTGGGTGTTTTTTTAATTTCTTATTCCTGGCCTTCCCCAAATGGAAGTTTCTATAATAAAGCATCTCAGAGTGATAAGTATACCACTGGAGAAGGAAACAGTGCAATTTATGACTTCATAGAGAATTCTACAACTTCTAAAAGACATTCAATTCAATGAAGTATTTTTTTATTTGAAACTTATGAGAGCCATACCATAAACAAAGGTTTTGATAATCTCCTGGGGTATATAAATAAATATTAAAAACTTTATCGGATGTTTATAAAAGTAATTTGAAAACAAGGAAGTACCTGAAGAATGGTAAGAAAAGAGAAACATTCTTTTGCTTAAGAATAAAATGTGATTATTTAATGTTCAAGTTTATGCTTCTTCCTTCAGAATAAGATCATTAATCATATAGGTATTTAATCATATCTTAGTTTTCTTAAATTCTCTTTAACAGATTTACTGTAATGTTTATTTATTTATTGCTAAGAGTATATGTCTAGGATGAAGCATTGTACTTTTTACATATAATAGCTTACTTTAGAACATCGAGTAAGACAATAAAATAAACAGTTGAAGCTGAAGGACTGAGATCTGAGATTGCTAATCCCTTGTGAACCATGGGCTTTATTAAAGCAGGGCAGCATCTTTCTGTACTTTATCTGTAATGAAATAGAGAGATTAGAGTGGAAAGGACACCATATGAGTCTTCTGGTCATTTTGATCAATAATTAACACATGATTTCCATTAAAAAAACTCTAAAATCATAGTACATCACAAAGATCCATGACGTTATGTTCTTAGAAAAAACAAACAAACAAACTTTGACAGAGATAATACAGCAAAACATTTCTGCTTTATATCTACTGTTCAGAGATTTGCATTAATTTAGGTCTTTCCATTTCATGTTACTTTTTTTTTTTCTTTAGTGTCTCAAGTTCTGTTAAGTTCCAGTTTCTGCTTGTAGTTAGTTGTTCCTTGGCTTTGTTTTGCTTTGGTCCTTTGCTTCCAAGAGCTGTTAACTGGAGACTTTAAAAATTGTTACTGTCTCTAGATAAAGTGACATAGCTTCACAGAGATCCAGATGTAACACCTGATGCTACCTCAGTGCCATTTGGGACCAGAAACCAGTGTAACTAAAACCTTATTACAAAACAAACTTAAAAAAAAAAAAAATTTGTTTGCAAGACTCTATTTCCATTAAGTTGGTTCATCTTGGTGTTTGTCCACGGTTTCTCCCCTTTTCTGTGTCTGCTGCTCTGCATTTCAAGGTATCAGGAGCAGCTGAGGTCATTTGGTCTGTTCAGCCTAGAGGAGAGGAGACTGAGGGGAGACCTCATTGCCACTACAACTTCCTTGGGAGGAAGTGAAGTATTTCCTGTTTAATTCTTCAGAGCACTCTCCACTGAATAACTGAAAACTTACTATTTTCTTCTGCTTAGAATCCTAAATTAGGGAAAGCATGGCAAGGTCAGCTGTCTGAGAGTTTTCAAAGTACTCATAGTAGGTAACACAAGCTTTAAAAAACAAACAGCAGAAATTTTGAATTCCTGCTTTAATAGAAATACAACTGGAGGACAAAACTTTGCCAGAATATTGTATGCAGTATTCAGAGTCTAAAAAAACAAAAACAACTTCAAGACTGTTTGCCAAAATCAAAACTTTTTCAACAAATTTTCAGTTACCTCTTTCATGAAATCACAGAATACGCTGCATTGGAAGGGAGCCATCAGGATCATTAAGTCCAACTCCTGGCCCTGCACAGGACACCTCATGTGTTTGAGAGCATTGCCCAAACATTTTTGAACTCAGACAGGCTTGGTCCTTTGACCACTTCCCTTGGGAACCTGTTACTCTTTCTGCCTGTTGTTTTCTTCACATATAAATTGTAATTATAATTTCTTTGTTTTACAGTTTACATAAAGTTCTAATGGATCTGCAGAATCAGCAGCTGGCCCAGTTAGCTGACTGGCTGACAAAAACAGAAGAAAGGACAAAGAAAATTGATTTGGAGCCCCTAGGTCCAGATCTAGAGGACCTAAAGCGTCAAGTAGAAGAGCATAAGGTGTGCTATGGTGTGCTTCCAAGGGCGTGAAAAACAAACTCAGTTTTTGACATTTTAAAACCTCTACTGCCATTAGAACATAACAAAGTAATATGGAATCTTGGTTTAATATTTATTGTTCTGTACAGTTAACAAGCTTTTGTAGAGTTATTTTATCACAACTCTTGAGTTTTATTCTGATATTAAAAAAAAAACCAACCCTTTATATATATAAAAAATATACTAGAATATGTGAGGCAACCATAACATCCTTTTATTACCTGGTACAATAAGAATATATCAGATTTTTTAATACCTGTGTTTTCTTCTTTTTGCATGTTGTTTTTTCCCCTTGCATGTTATAGTAGTAATGATGCAGTACTCAGACTGCATGATCTTGTTAGCACTCCTGGGACTCTGAATATTTATTTGTACAGTACTGCTTTTTAATTGTAGAAAATACTTTTTAGTAATGTATTTGATTAATGGAAAATAACAAATTCATGAATGGAATGTAAGAGAGAATTTGACCATTTTTTCCCACTTTCCATGAGGGTAATTATTTAATTGGAAAGATTGAAATCTAAGAAGAGAGATACTATATTGTGTGTAATAGCTTGGTTTCATTTACTGCGTTAAATTGTCCTGCTTCATATTAATTTAAATTGTAAAATAAATTAAGATATGTATCAATAGCGCATGGTGATGATAAAGAAACACAAAAAAGTAGAAAACAGAGATTATTTGTGAGGTCGTAGAGATTTAATGTGATAATTTTTTAATGTTTCTACATCAGTGGCTCAAAGCAGTTCATTTCCATAGTATCTTGAGAGATTTTAACACCTGATGCTTCATAGCCTGTGTCAGTACTAGTCCAGGTTTTAGAGGGCAGATCATCCTGAAAAACAATTCAAACTGAAATCAGCTTTTACAGTTCTTTTACAAAGAGGTCAAATGCTGCAAGACTTCATGATACACTAGTGTGTTAAAGATGATTTCTTTGCATTCTGATTAAGGAGTGCTACTGAAGAGGAATGCAAATTCTGCTGCTATTTGTGCTGTCCTTGCCCTGTGAGGAGACAAAGTATTTCAGTACGAGGGTTTGCTAGCTAAGCACATATTCTGACATTGAATTTTCTTTTTAAAAAAAGACAGCAGAAAATTATGAAATGGTAATTAGGAAAAGAAATGTAAAGGATTTTCAATACATGAGTACTAAGACTAGAATAACCTTATTTCTATGCATTTTATACTTGAATATTAACATAAAATGTAATCCTTTTATTTATGCAATCTCTTTATGCTACTTCTTTCTAATACTGGGAAAAGAATGTGTTTAGCTAGTATTTGAAGATTCTTAGTGAAAACATTCAGAAATCTCTCTTCCACATACTAGTTCTTCATTCTTGGTGCGTTGAGTTAGTCAACATTATTTATTTATGTGTATTACTTTTCAAATCTTTTTTTCTGTGCAAGAGACAATTTAGCTAGTATGCTGGAAAGAAAATGTTTTGAGTTTAATTTTAATTACATCTGTATTAATTTATTTTTTTTCTTATTCAGAAGTCAAAGAACAAGGTGTTTTCCACTCTTTCAATTATTGTGAGAAAGTTAATATAATTTTATTGTATGTTATATACAGCAAAACTACCTCCTATAACAAAGATTAAAACAATGGAATTTTAGTAGCACAGGTATTGCTTCATTATTAAATAAGCAAACAAAAAACCGAAACTCAACACCCCTCATATTTTCTCTGAGTCTCACCTGTCCCTGGATGTACCAGAAACAAGGTTTTGCAAATAATTCGGAGGAACCAAAAGTTAGAAGATGTAAAAGGCAATTTTGGTTTCAAATGAAACAGAATCAGAAAAGGTGATAGGTTTGGTTTGTAGTTATCCTGTCTCTGTCTCTTCTTTAGCTTTATAATTTTGACTTCCCCTCTTTACCTGTTCATTAGTAGCTAGTTTTCACTCTGTTGATTTCAAATTATGTATTCCCTCTTTGACTTAGACTTCCATACATCTGATTTCTTGATTCTACTTTTTTCTCAGTGTTGTCACAAAATATTGGTTTTGAGTTCTTGTGACTAACACTTGAGATGCTCTACTGGGTTCTGTATCAAAAAACAAGAAAAAAAAGAAAATCATTCAATAATGTATATTGGGAATGATACCCAACACGCAGACCAGACAAAGAACACAACTTTTTTTCACACTTCTCAGCATGCTGCTTAGTTCAGAAATATTTGAGATTAATATCTTGATATTACTGAAAATTTTATGAGTGGGCTGAAGTAGTGGTGAACTCTAGAAGATTTTATGTCATTAGCAAGGCACAGAGTTCTGGTGAGAAGTCTGTTGTAGTCGATATGTTTTGGAATGGTAGTTAAACATCTCAGTAAAGAACTATAGTTTTTCTGCAGTAATATTTTATGTGTTTTTCTGCTGTTGCAACTATCCCTTCCTTGTAATTTTATACAGGGAGGAAGCTACTTTTCGATAAAAGTCTGAGGACGCTTGAACTGTCTAAGTAGAATACTATTGGAAATACTTCAATTAAAAAAAAGTATGCTTTGAATTGAACTGATTTTATTATTCCAAGTTATTATTATACAATTATAGTTAATAGATTTTAAAGTTTCATTAAGTTTCCAAAAACATCTAAACTTTTTAATGCTAGGATTTTTAGTACTTCAAATTAATTGAAAATGTTAAATGAGATACTTCTTAAATGTTCAAATAGGGGTGGATTTTTCTTTGACACTTGGATGACCTAGGTAGGTATTTTTATTCACTTTCAACTACATTAAGTTGGAGTTGTGTAAGTTGTTATCCAATAGAGAGGAATTAAAAGAACTGTGGAGTTTTATGAGTTTCTGTTGTTGCTATCTCCATGCATCAACATTTATATCCATCCTACGTTTTAAGTCCTTGAAAATTTGCTTTCTCTCTAACAAACTCAGAAGAACTAGTTAGAAATTTCAATTTAAGTTATTTGAACAGAGTGTGCTCTAGCCTTGAGACTGCACTTCATAAATTCCTGTTTCAACAAGATTCTGAATACAAACAATTTTCACCAATTAATTTAATGGTAAAAATAGACACTTGGGTTTTAAAGAACAGTTCTTTACCTCAGGATAAATTGAATCTGTCTGAGGATTAGATAATGACTCACCTTTCTGGTTCATCTGTTCCATGACTTCTCAAGTCTTTCACGATGTGTGTGAGACTCCCACTTCCAAAGTACCATCCACTCCTGCACTTGCAGAGTGTTGCTAACTCTGATTTTCTTCTGGGATGCCATCTGTCAGATACTGACTAACCAGGAAATAAAAGTCACCTTGTCCCTTGCTGTAGGCTTGCAGAGCAATGTATTTATTGTTGTATGGCTTAAACAGGGGATTAAACCTGGGGGAAGCGAGCTGTGTTATACGCTCTGATCCATTAGTGCTCTTCCTTGATCAAGTGCTGGGTCATAAAATGTTGAGAAGTCTAAATTCCAGGGATGGCTCTTACAATTTTGAGTGCTTCACAGTCCTTGAGAATTGTTTTATAGTCTAGCTCTCTGAAGCAAATGGTAATCACAGGCATGAAAGTCAGAAAAAGGAGGATTCTTATATTGCCTCAGAGGCTATGCCCATGAAGGAATTAACTCTGAAATATGTGGTAAGAAATGTATGCCTTAAAAACAAAATAGTCAGTGAATTCCTTTCCTGTTGCTTATAACCACATTGTATTTTATTTTTAATTTTCAAATAAAAGATGTTTTACTAAAGTGGTTTAAAATTCATGACCTTATCTTCAGCAAAGGCTTATTTTTCATACCTAAGTGAGCTACTCTTCTTGAAAAAGCAGCAAAAAACAGTAACATGGTGAAATTCAACAAAGTTTAAAGTACAGTCAAGGTTTCTATTATGATAAGGCATATGTAGTTAGCCATGTTATTTTTCAGACTGTAACTATCACACTATATATGTACTAATTCCCAGGATGTACTCAGCTGAAGTATTCAGGACGTGATCCAGGAGTTTGATCTCCCACATTCTTTTGTTTGTTTGAAGGCACAGACACCTGAAAAGTGTCAGGCAAGATACAGACTTGGATACCTTGTGTTTTTTCCAGAGGAGTGGTATAAGACCCTCTTTGAAGTTTTATTTACACAGCACAGAACCCACAAATGTAAAGGAGTGGTTAACAACTGGAAGTTAAAAATGTACATTTAGGTTTTCATACACAGTATTTTCTTACTTTGGAGCACATTTTCTAACACATACGCTTCAATTATAGGCATTTCAAGAAGATCTGGAACAGGAACAAGTCAAGGTGAATTCTCTAACCCATATGGTAGTGGTGGTGGATGAGAACAGTGGAGACAGAGCTACTGCTGCACTGGAAGAGCAGCTTCAGGTAATGACTGAATGACAATGCTTGACTCAAAAACTTGAAATAAGAAATTTTAAAAATAAGCAAAACCAAATATTGAATGTGTACAGAGCCATAATTTTTAGACAATTCTTATCAAGAAATATTAAGATTATTATGGTTTTTCTAAAACACTCTTTTGGGAAAAGTCACAATTTACTTCCCATTATTATTCTTATGTTTCTTAGGAAGTGAAGGGAATAATCTCAACCAGTCCTTAGTTTCATTTCTCTGTTTCAGTTTTCTCTTTTCAGTATTTATGTTTTTTACAACAGTTTGTCATTTGTGTTTCTTATGAGAAGACTTTCCAGAGTACTAGAATTGGAAGATTTAGAATTTAGCAGCTACACCTTTGCAATCCAAATCTATTCTAAACTTCATTTTGGCCCAAAGCCTAAATGGTCAACAGAGAAAATTTTCCATATATTTTATTTTCTAAATACAATTAATTGATTGTCTTAAAAGCATGACACATTGGAGATACATTTGTGATAAACCTAGCAGCCAAGATATTCAAAAAAGTTTATCAGATATTAATTTACTTATAATAAAAGTTTAGTATTTAACTTACGTCTTTAACAAGTTACTATTACTGTATTATTTTTATTTCAATGCCCTTACTGTAACTTCTGAATGCAATTAAATGGATAATTAATGTTGAGATGCATTGAAGGAGGATTCTCTTGTGTTGTTCATCGGATCTCCAGGGACATTACTCAAGAAGAATCACAGTACTATGAGCAAGATTCCTTCTATTTTTCTCCTTCAGAAAGGAGAAAGTGCTTTTCCTTTATTTTCCTTCATTACTTAGGAAAGTAAAAATTTTGTGGTTTTTGTCATTAAAACCCAAGGCTTTCTCTAGAGAAGCTATCAATACATTCAGCTGGAAGGTATAGCTGTAGCACAGATAGATAACTGTTTGCTTAGTTAAATTTGGCTTATTTGTGTACCCATACCAGTAAATCAGTAATTGGTTTGGAGTTTAGAATAGGTAGTAGATGTTGGGTTAAGGTTATGAGCACTGCCACTTCAGAAATGAGTTCACTTTCTTTTGTAAGGTAACAATGCAGCCTCTACTGATCCATAATTATTACTTCTTTTTAACTTCATCGTAAGTGTCAGAGCTGTGGTGTACCTGCTCAAAATATTCTTAACCTTCCAGAATTTCTTGCCAGCTCCTTGTATACTGTTCAGTGGAATAAAACAGATTCTTTGCAAGAACATGGCTCCAGAAGCTAAGCTAAACATATAAAATGTCTTGAATGGAAAAGAAAAAAAAAAGAAATAAAAAATGGACGGGAAAAGGTTCAACCTTGGTATGCTGGTAAACAGTATGCTCTTGCACAAAGGCCTATAGTAAAGTATGACTAAAAAAAAAAAAAGAGATAAAATTGCAGATGTATTTGATATTTATGGCACTTCATGAATTAGAAGATGTACAAATGAGAATTTTTTATTGTGTGAAAAAAAAAATGAAAGGTTGGTGTACTATTAGATAATTAATCTAGTTTCACAACTTCAGAAAGACATCTGAAGAGTTAAGAGCACATCCGGTAACACAGCTACATCCCCTCTTATTACCGTGGTTGCAAAGGTACCATTATTATGCTGTGCAACATCTGTGGTCTGTGGCTGATCCATATTACAATACAACCTGAAATGGAACTCAAACATTACTGCAATACCTTAAAGAAACATAATGAATGATGAGTGTAAATGGAACACAATGGAAATACACCATACAATACGCTGTAGTAGTGGAGAAGGCATCTGATATTGGGATAAAGTGTGCCCTGCTGTTACTGTCTTTGAAAAGGTATATTCCTTGAAAGATGCTGGCAAGACAATTGCTGAGACCCCTCATCTGCAGCACATGCCTCCTCTGAGCAGAGCCTGGGGTGGTGTGTGGCAGTTCATCTGCTGTTCTGTCCCCTCCTTTGAATCACACTGTCTTACAGGAGAATCTTAAAGAAAAGCCCAATAATCCTATTGCTCTGGAAGCCAAGAATATGTATCAAGATTATAGATGTTGATAAAACCCAAACACAGATATAAATCTGTGGGGTTTAGAGTGTTAGGGAGGTGTGGAAACTTTCCTACTTTAATGTCCAGGAGAACTGACTTACCATAGACCACCTACTATCCCAGCAAAATGTTACACCTCTTTTTTTTGTGTACAGAAACTGTTTGTTTGTTTTTTTTTTTTCATATCACTTACAATCTGAATATAAGCACAGGAGATAGAACATGTTGGCAGGCACAATCATTAGAGAATTTGACAAAAAGCACAATGGAGCAAAGTTCAAAGCTTGATTATGTATCTGTCAGTCTGACTTGTAAAAGCAGAACAAAACAAGAGCATGCACTGTCAGACAAAAGAGCTTAAAAAGGCTGGCTCACTGAGGTACTAGTCAGGTTCAGACTTAGAACAATGTGAACAGTTATTTCCATGTAATTATCAAAGATGCGTTTTCCAAGCAGGTGTAATTCACTTATACCTTTCTTTTTGAGGTGGTGATTCCTGAAATATTTTCATATATATAAATATCTATCTATATATTTTTACAAGTGTCTAAATGCCAAAAATAAACTTTTAGAGATATTAAGTCTCAAAAAGGATGACAAGAATCTATACTGATCTCAAATAAACTGTATAGAAGTTCTTAAATTTTATTTCATATTCAAAAAAAAAAGTCTATTTAAGAGACAGTTAATAGCATAGAAACCAGAAGTGTCTCTTGAAACAAATTATCCATAGAAAATTTAACCTTGCTTGGAAAAAATAAGTAAGCACAGTTTCAGTGCTTCTCTTACAAACAGCTGTGACCCCAAGGTACTTTGAGAGACTACAGCTAACCTAGGTGAGTGTGACTATTAAAACTACTTTTACATTACGTTACTAACTTAATAATCAGTATGTGACAAGTTGAGAGGCTCTGGTTATGCTGCTATTGAGAGCTGACTATTTAGACTTATAACTCTGAGACCCCAATTAAACTCAATCCAAAGATTTACCAAGGCAGCTACTAAGTAAGACTCAAATCTATATTTAGTGCTGCATAATCAAAGGACAGTACTAGCAAATCTGTTGCTGTAATCTGACTCATTTCCACAGGAAAAATGTGGGAAATTATCTTCAGCCCAGAGAAATGGCTGGATAACATACCTAAGCCATGAATGCAGGGAGATTTTTTTCCTCTAATTATACCCAGTAGACAGCAGGTCCCTTGAGGACTCTTGTGGACTAGCTCAAATTAGAGGCTTCACCAGGCTCCAGGGGTCAGGGTCTGTGCTAGAAAGAGATCGGCATTAAGTGTATCAAGTGCTACTTGATGACTTATTCCCCTACTGAGGGAAAGGAACTGAGAGTGTAATTTACACAATTACATATTCATATTATTCAGGTTATTATCCTTTAAATGAAGGTGATGTATGGGTAGTTCTTGTAAAAGTACGGCAAAATAAGTGAGGAATGTTAAAGAATGAATAAACTATTTCAGTTGTCTCATTGAATACCTGTGACAAGAAGTTATCTCCTACAAACTTCAGGGATTTCCAAGACCTGCTCATGGCTGGCAAGTTGAAATTTCCTGTAAGGACAAGGGCTACTGATCCAGAAATTTCCCCTATTTACCTATAGAATAACTCACTGGTGCTTACATCCTGGCTGGGCCATCAGTAGTAGATACCCACTACAGCATCTTTTTTTTCTTCCATCCCCTTAATCCTCACCCACAGGGTGTCCAACACATCATCACTAACTGCAAGGGTTGTGCAATACAACCTCTTAAACCTCACCTGACCTGCCTGTCTGTTCTGAACATCCTGTAGTTCTCTATCCCAGAACTCCAACCTTGGGACTCGTTCTACCACATCTCACTATTACCAGCGATATCACAGCTGTGGGACCTGACCAGTGCTTCCAGTTCATCCTGTTTGTTTCTCACACTGCATGTGTTGGTGCACAAGCATTTCAGAACTACAAACACAGCTTATTGCTTCATGGTAGAAATTCTATGAATGGCCCAAATATTTTTCTTTTAAAGAATTGGTTTTGGATAATGGCAAAAACGTATTTTGAATTTCATTACTTAAAAAGTGGATAACCGTACCTTATTTGAAGAGCATCTTTCAAAAAACTCTTATTAGTTGCAGGCTTGAAGTATATTATTTCACTATTTATACATTCACTCCAGTGTTCCCAAGAGTTGTGTTGGTTTCACTCATTTTGTCCTGTTCTTGTGGTTCCTTACTTTGACCTTTTAGCAGACTAGAAATATTTTATCTTTTACTTTCTTTCAGAGACCTCTCAGTAGGAAAAAAAGTTTCTTTTGCATACAGATTTCTCTGAAAATTTGTTAGGGCTGTAAAATAGCCCTTTAAAGGGAGCAGGAGGGCATTTTGCTTGTTAGTCTGGATTCAGTGAGTTTCTCTGGAGATTTGTTTTCCCAGGTCTCGGGAACAAAACATTTGTGTGCAGCCTGAGTTCCTGGGCATCACACAGGCTACTTGCAGCATAGGCTATTTGATGTTAATAGGGAGTTAAAGCTGAGGACCATATGATTCAGTAGTAAAATACTACTTTATAAATAGACAGTCTTGACATATTTGAAACTTGAAACTTCATGTCTTAAACCTATTGAGCCAAACAGTGTGTCATGGTCTGATGGTTGTTAAGAGCTCTCATGAGAAAAATCAGCTTTAAGACAGGTCACCATATCAAAACTTTTATCAGTGGTCATTTTACTTAATTAAAATAAAAGATTTTGTCAAATTATTGAGAAAAACAAAAAACAAAAAAACCCACAACAACAAAAAAACACAAACAAACAAACAAAAAAAACCCAAAAAACTTTGTGGCTTTGAACTCATATTCTGAGAATAGTATTTTCTATTGACTCAGGAAAACCTTTTTTTGCCATGCACCTCAATGTATTTCTTAAAGTAAATGCAGAACCACATATTTGATCTTATACTCTTGAGGTTTTGGCGTTTTCTGGATGATGAAAAAAATTATTTTTCAAGGTATATCGTAGCAATAAAGGCAAGTTGATGAAGATATTACTGCAGTTGTTGAAAGCAAGTTATATTTTTCATGAAAATTGTTAACAAAAGTCAGCTGCCTGAAAGAAAGATATTTAGAAATTACTCAGGTATGAGAATTTTTATAAATTAGCTATGAGGAAGGTTATGCTTATGATTTTGAACTTGTAATTAGCAACTTAAAGAAAGGTTGATTGAATATAAAAAACTGAACGAGTGCTAGATATTGCAGATCTGTCTGTTAGGTTGTCTTCTGGGCTTGGAGAAAAAAAAAGAACAAAAATGATGAGGCTGTACTGAGCTAAACTGGAAATGTAATCAGATTCAGGAGAAATGAAACTAAATATAATACATCATTTTGTTACATTAAGATCTTTAGGTTTTCAAATCAATGAAATAAGTCAAAGTATATTTTTTTCTGAAAAGACATTAGGGCTTATGGTATACATATAATTTAACCTGTAAGGTTAATAAATACTCTTTATAAAATCCTGACATTTTTGTAAAAGGAGAAAATAATTTAAAAAGGACAATTTAGAGTAACTGTCTGAATAATTTCCTGCACTGTTCTCTGTTGTAAAATTTGTCAATTTTATTTAATGATGAGTGGATAAAATAAATGAATAAAATATGTTCTACTCTATTTCCTGGTAAGTTGAGATCTTAAATTTCCTGAGCAAGTATTTGTTTCTGTTAGTATTGAAATTAACTTTTTGAAATATTCACATTCAAAACCTGAACTTTTTTGTGTTTTTTTGAATTAGTGATCTTTGATCACATTATGTTTAATAGAAAGTAAACACTAACATTAAAATTATTTGATTTTAATGTGAAAAGAAATCACAATCTTAGATTTGCAAAATAGCTTGGTTTTGTCTAGATACAATTAGGAAAAAAAATGATTTATCCATTACAGTATTTCAAAAATATACCAAAACTGTGGTCCCCATATTAAGACTAGAAAAGGCAAAACAACTTGCTCAAAATCTACTTCGTATTGATGCAGTAACTGACTGAAAAGGAAGGCTTTTCTATTAATGTGAAACATATTTAATTTGTTTAAGAATTTACATTTTTTTAAGTTAGCATTATTTTGCTAGTTGATTGGAGATAGTTTTCATTTTTCTAAATTGGGACAAGATCTAATATGATATTACTCAATGGCATGGCAGCTGACTATTTAGTCTGAAATATTTTTTATGGTTTTAGTGTCCACTCAGTGAAAAATGTTGTATCTGCTGACTTTTTACTTTGACATAAAATTTTAAAGCAAATTCAATTGGCATTCTGAAATTTTACCTTTCATTTACTAGAAAGTGAAAAAAAATTTTTTTCTTTCCTTGTAGAAAATACAGTACTTATTTCAATCTCTTTGTTTTAAAAATCCACCACTTCGATGCTGCATTTCTGCCAAAATTAAATTATAATCTCTATGTAAAATATGTAAACATGAAAAGTATAGAATCATATAATATTTCAATTTATAAGGGACCCATAATAATCATAAAATGAATACATAAATATAAAAAAAGGAAGAAAATATTATCCTTTCGTCTGGATGTGCTTTTGAAGTAGATAAAAAGTAAGTATGCAGTAGTATAGAATATCTTTCAGATTTTATAAGGGGTTTTTTTGTTGCTTTTTGTTTGTTTATTTTGGGGGAACAGATGAATAATTTGCATATTATGTTCAGGGGAAATTAAGTCATTGTAAATCATTGCAATAATTGTTTTATATTGTGTTGCTCTATCATAGCAGTATCATATCTCCTCCAACTTAAGCATTATTTAATAAAGACTAGTAGAGTATTTAAAAGAAAGTAATAATGTAATAAATAGCATATGGTACAAATACCTGGGAAACCTGTGTGATGGTGTGCTGGTGTGTTAGCCTATGAGTTGGGGGATTTTCCACTGCAATATTTTAAAAGACATAGGAACTTTGTTCAACTGTACTGACGAGTGCAACTTAAAAACCAAATACTTTTTTCTTTAACCACATCTTTGAATCATCATAATCCTGTTTCAAGCCATTGGCATCATAAAGTTTTGAAACTGAGGAGTTTTTTGAAAGTATAGTACCAGAGACTTAATAGAAAGCTGTGTCTGTGGATTAGTGTGAAAATCCTCTGGTTTGGGATCTATTGTTTTCCTATTCTCTCCACTTCGGGTTTTTTTTAAATAGTGTGAACATCCATTTCAGTTTGATATGCAACATATTTGAAGGGCATAAGACTGAAGAAAGTGAATTAGGAAAGTGTTTTCATAAAAAAAAATGAAGCTCTTGCCTTGCTTAGGGGGAAAAAAAGTAAACCAGTGCAAACCTTTCTTTTGTGTTTCTTTCTAGCACTTTGGAAAACGATGGGCAGCAATCTGCAGATGGACGGAAGACCGATGGGTCCTTCTGCAAGATATTCTTCGTAAATGGCAGCATTTTGCAGAAGAGCAGGTAAGTAGTTTTTCGCAGTTACAAATTGGAATGTTCTTTGAAATATTGCACTAGGAAAGGCCTGAATGAAGCTTTTTCTCTCCAATTTGATTTCAGTGCCTTTTTGATGCGTGGCTTACTGAGAAAGAGGATGCTGTGACCAAAATTCGTACAACTGGCTTTGAAGATCAAAATGAAATGCTGACCAATCTAAGCAAATTAGCTGTATGTATTTCTCATTCTTCTATTTTATATTCAACTTTTTTAATGTGACTCTGAATGCATGTGGCTTTATCCCATTCTCAGACCATATGGTCTAACAGAACAGCTGTTTCACACTTTGGGAGTGGACATCGACTCTTGTGGATGAAATAGTTTGGTCCATAGCCTTACTAACAAAGGAACCAATAGATACAGATGTTTTTCTTGATTGCCTCTGAAGTCAAAAGCTTATGAACTAAAATAGAATCTGAGTGTCTTAAAAGTATGCATATTTTTATACTGAAAGTTTCTATGTTGATACTGTCGGTGTATATGTTATGTGTGAGACAGAGTTTATGTGCATATGTGCAAAGACATATGCATGAGACATAAAGCAAACCCTGTTAAACATCCCTTGCACTTGAAAAACCTAAAGGCTTAAAGTTGTGAGATGTTGAAATTAGTATTACTTTACAACTAGATCTGAACATCAGAAATCTAGTTACATGCACAAAAAGCACCCTTTTCAACGTGCCTTCTACGTCACTCTTCAGGAGATACTCTGCCATGCATTGTCTTTATGGAGGGAATATAAGTCTGACTGGCCTAGAAAGATGGTGTGCCTGCAGAGGTGAAAAACTTGTCACAGCATAGACTTGCCAATGGTTTCATAGCAGTAAGATATTTGTAAAGAAAATTATATGGTATGTGCTTTTTTTGTATGTAATGATGAATATCTGTGCACTTAGAGGAAAGGAAACAGTTATGTAAAAGCTTTGGTTAAAATAGGCAAATTATTAAAAAGGAACATAATTGGTAAAATTCTGTTTAAACAGAGATATTATTGTGGGGTTTTTTCAAATGGGGGAGGAGATTCTCCTAGTCATTATTTTAAGACTTGTTTTTTCAGCTTACTAGAATTTTTAAGGAATGAAGAATTCTCCATCTATTATTAATGACCTATTATTAATTGTTTGTGAATAAAAATTATGTTAATATACTTATTAATAATTAATTGTGTATTCTTTATTAATTATTATTGACTATACATATATTGGTTATGTATATATAAGGCTCAAACGTAGATTTGCAAAAAATAATTTAGGATTTACATCTTTCTTATCATTCTGTATTAAAAGTAGAAACACTCAGGCTTTGGGTCAATAAAAATACCATGATGTTTCTGAAGTTTAAGTGATGTTTTTAAAATTTACTCTATTTTATCCTCTCATATACAAATGCATAAATTTTTAATAAAATAATCTTATGGATTGACTATTTAATTTCTAACTATATGCTGTCTGGTCCAGAATTCACAGTAAATATCCTTTTGCTCTGTAGAATGACTAAATATTTATTAGTTTTTGATTTTTTTTCCAAAAGTCAAGACCCAAAAGGTTGATTTTTAGTGTAATCTTAAAACACTGTAATTACTATGCTACTATATGTAGGCTTCTTTTCCTCCTTAAGGATTAATGAAAATATGCATTTAGAAGTACAAACTTGGATTTTGAATAAAGATTACTTAGGATTAAGTAAACTTTCTAAAGGAAGGAAACTTCATGTAATCAGTTGTTGCCTCGGAATATATACTTGTTGGAAATTCTAGGAGTCTAACATGTAAGGAGTCTTGAAGTTGACCTCAAGCCAGGTTTTATTAATGCATAACAAATTAGAGGAAACTGAGGATGCTTTAGAGCAGCCTCATGAAGAAAAATATATTATATGAAATTCAAATTTATTCAGTAAATTAGTACTTTTGGATTTCAGAAGGTTGCTAGAGGAAATAGGTACTGAGGGTGGAAATGTTTATCACAAATTGTGAAGTAGCAGACTATTAATGGTTTGCAAGAGTCAAGGATAGAACAACTTTGGATACCTTTCAGAATTGCTTTAAAACACAATGAGAAGAGGGAAACACTTGAGTAGTATTTTCAAAAATTTGATTAATTAAATAAATACAGACTCTTATGAAGTTAAAATATTGTACCAGCTTAAATTGTTAAACATTATTGTCATGAAATCATTGTGGTCTTCCATGAAACTGAATGAAAATAGAGTAAATAAAGTTATTTCCACATTGCCCTGAACCTCAACAAGAATCACGTCATCCTTAACAGAAAGGGTGGGTTTATTAATAGCAACTTCATCTTTTTTACACATATGTGACCTTAATTTTTTTTACAAACAGTTGATTCATAATGCAATAGTTTAGTTATTTGAATGTTGGTGGTATGCTGGAGGAACAGTGCCTCTCCTGTGTCTTTGATTTGTAGCAGAAAAACGTTTACTTTAGAATTCCTCTGCTTTTAGATCTAGTAGCACCCATCTCCAAGTTCCAGTGAATATGTATTTTTACATTCACACAATGCCAAATTGTCAGGAGTTTTATGTTTGAAAATTTGCTATTTTGGTCTTATCTGAATCACAGGGAATTTGTGCATGGCGCACGTGAAATTTTTTTTTTCACAGAATATATTCTTCTGCTCTTGGACTGGCTTTTAGAAATAGGGAAAAATGGGATCCTGCTATCCTGACCCTGACATGCACATCAGGCCTGTCTTTTGGTTGTTGTTTATTTTGGGCGTAGACATGTGTTTGAATGTAGAGAAGAAGAAATTGTCATTAAGAACCAATGTTATAACTAGGCCAGCTTTTTCATGAACTATTAAAGTTAGTCTGTGAGGCAATGAAAATATATTCTTTCAATAATATGAATGTGTTTATATTTTTAGTGATATGAAATAAGAAATTACAACATTAGTTTTTCCTGTTAGACCTTAAGAATTTTGAGTTTGATATTATGGTATGGCATAAGAGCTTCCAGTCTATTTTTCCTGCCCCTCTTATATGTAGAACTTGACAAGATTAAGGTCTTTTTCTTTAGGCAATCTCTTAAACCTGAAGGAAATTTCTCAAGTTATTTTATTAAACTATTTAGCATTACGACTGTTGATTTGAAATTCTACAACCCTCCTACAAGGCCCTAAGCGTTTTAAAGTGACTGAACTGAAATAGGTCTGTTGAACAGCAGGCTCCAGTGTGGGCTCTCCACAGAGTCGCAGCTTCTTCCAGAGCACATCCCCCTGCTCCGGCGTGGGGTCCTCCCCAGGCTGCAGTGGGTTCTGCCACGGAGCTCCGTGGGGTGCAGGGGCACAGCTGCCTCATGGTGGTCTGCACCGTGGGCTGCTGGCAAATCTCTGCTCCAGTGCCTGGAGCACCTCCTCCTTCTCTGGCCTCAGTGTCTGCAGGGATGTTTCACAGTTTTTCTCACTCCTCTCTCCTACAGCTGCTGCACAGCATTTTTACCCTTTCTTAATGATTTTACCACAGAGACACTGTCAGAGTTACTGATGGGCTCAGCTTTGGGCAGTGGTGGGTCTGTTTTGGAGCCATCTGAAATTGGTTTTATCCATCATGAAGGCGGCTCCTGGTGTCGTCTCAAAAAACCCAACTTTGCAGCTCCCCTGCTGCCAAAATCTTGCCATGTAAACCTGGTACAGATGTTGTCCCCCATTTTTTCCCTCAGCATTAGTAGTTATATTTTCATTGTTACTAGAATAAATATATTTTGAGCAGTGTAGTAATTCACCCAGATCTAGTATTGGGATAAAATTGATATCAAGTCAGTTAAATTTCTTCTTAATTTATACACTGGATATGTAATATCTGTAAGAATTTTTATTCGGATAAAATTGGTTTTCCCAAGAAAATTTTTTGTTTTACTAATCTCCAGTGGTTTGTTTCAAAGGATTTATTCAGTATTTGTACGTGAAAATTTATCTTCTTTGTCATTAACTCCCTTCTGGGATCTTCTTAGTCTAAAGGTCAAAAAAACTGTTGAGTCTTTACTACCTTGTGCATATATTGACTTTTGTCCTTTTTTTTTTTTTTTTCCCTGATGTTGGTGGGTAGCTACTCTAGTTCTAAAAATATTTCCTTAAAACAACTCTTAGTTTTCCACCCACCATTTGTTTGCTGGCATTATAATTGTCTTTGAATTCTTACACAAGGCAAATGGTGAAACAGGGCATGGACTAAGCTGGAAGATTTGATAAATTGAAAATGTAGAACTGAGGTGAAATTTTACTGTCACGTATGACAGTATGACACAGGCTTGATAGAGTGTTTTCATGTCCTGTGCCTACATTTTGTAATCTGTAAGAGTTTTTGTTTTAGTTTGGTTTTTGGTTGGGTTTTTGTTTGTTTGTTTTTGTGTGGTTTTGTTTGTTTGTTTGTTTGTGGTTTTTTTATAAAAAATATTGAGAGTTACTGCAAAAGTATGCAAGATATATCTCTAACTATTTTTAATAAATTTCCATTATATAGAGTTAAATCTTCTGCTTCACCTAATGCAATTCTCTTTTTACTTATTATAGAAAATAAATTAGATATTACACTGTTTTTTTACTGGAATAAATCTCTTAGTACCTGAAAAATTACAGTGGACCTTGCTGGCTATATTATTACAATGAACAAAGAAAGTTTTTGATGATGTTTAGGAAAAGAAGAACAGTAATAATTAAAATGTTAAAATCAATAAAATAGTAAAAGTACTTTAACAACAAATAAGGAAATCACTTTATAATGTTCAAATGTCAGGGTTTACAGTATGGACTTGACAGAAGTTCTGGCTGATATATTTGATAATAATTTCATAAAAGAAACTCCCATTGATTGACTTACAGATTGATAAATTATATATTTTGTGGCTGGTATTAGTATTTTAGGTCTTGAGCATTGGGATTTTTAGTCTATTCTTGTATTGGGGAAAAAAAATAGAGCATATTTTTGGTTATTATGGCCCATTGACAGGTTTTCATTAAAGAAATGTGAAAACAGAATCCCCCAGTATAGTTTTAGAGGTTGACTGTATCTATCACAAAAGCATATTAGACCATAGTGAGCAGTATCTTTGACATGGAAAGTTTTAGCGTCCTTCTCTTTCTAGTGTTTCACTTTCTACTTGTGCTTCTTGTATCTTGGACTGATGCTGAACTCACAGGTTGCAGCTTTTGTGAGCTGGAGGGGTTGGAAATAAAAGTTCTGTTGAGAATTAACTAATGTTTCACAGGGTACCATTTCTTTTATTATTTTAGTCAGTGCATGTTGTGGCTTCCACATGAGCTTTTTCTGACATTGTAGGCAAAGAAGAAGGTATATTTTGCATATATAGCAATGCTTGAAATTTAAGATGATAAGCTGTTTTTCATCTACTTTCCTGCATCTGTTACATCTCCCACTATACAAACTGATTCTTGAATATAAAGTTAGCTTCTGTTTCTTAGGGATGTACCAGTTTTAATTTTGGTATTAGCTGTAACTAACATTAGTAATTATGATGCTTCATACCGCATCTGATTAGAAACAGTACTAATTACAAAGACTACAAATTTTTCTTTTACTGAGCTGTATTTTTGATTACAGTTTTGGATTATATTTCTATACGAAATGATATGTAGACTAAATTCTGTTGTTTAACCACTTGTTTAATTCTCCCTTTCATGCCTTGGGGATTAGAAAGCAATCCGCAGCTGCACAGAGAGATCAAAATTTGGCCATGGTTAGCACAGATCAGGGTGTAGAGAATGAATACTTAAGGAATGGAAATCAATGGAGTAAACCAGTTGAGGCTTGGAAAACTAAACCCAGCTAAGAACTGGAGCTATGGATGATTCTTGGATCTGTGAATATCCTACTTCACAGACAGGTTTCCGTGTATAGATCTCGGGAATTCCAAGATCCCTTGGCAGTTTACTATAATAGAGGTGGGAAGACTGTTTAGCATCCATGGGTTCAAGCTGTGAGGCAGCTTGAGCTTTGAGCTTTGGGGTTTTTTTTAATCCTGGTTTGGGGTCAAATATTATTTTTCTAGGAAATGTGGTTTCTTTTTTTTTTCCCCACAGGGAGTTTTAATATGCAATATATAACAAAGTATGTCGAAACTTTAAAGACACATTGTTTGACATGTTGATATAGTTGTTAACATTGATGCAGTTTTAAGGTTACTAGTGTCACACAACTGTTCGCTTTTTGATTTATGTGACCACCTGAGGCATGCTGTGATGTCCGGAGTTGCTCCACCTGCTATGTTATATTGCTTTTTGAAGTGCACTGTGTCCACTCCACTACATCAGCTCTGCCAGCAGTTTTTACAGTAATAGCAGCATGGAAGTATAGGAGCCCTTAGCCATTTTCTATTCTTTATGATGCTCTCTTTAGGATTTCTTTTTCTAAGCTTGTTGGATTTAGTTTTTGTGGATTTTTTTTGGTGTATGATTTACCGTTCTTCCTTCTGTTACTTTGTTTAACAGATCCTAAAAGGAGATCTAGAAATGAAAAGGCAAATGATGAGTAAGCTGAAGTTTCTCAGCCAAGATCTCCTTGTAGCTGTGAAAAATAAAGCAGTGGCTCAAAAGCTGGAAAGTCGTCTTGAAAATTTTGCCCAGCGCTGGGATAGCCTTGTGCAGAAGGTGGAGAGCAATTCTAAACAGGTTTGTGAAAACCATAGTTTTATCAGTTTTATCCTTTGACAGTCAAATGCTTGAAGTAGTTTTAGTGCTGTTTGTCATCTTGTTTTAATTTTTTTTCCCTGCATGATTGCTTAAGATGTATTTTATTTTTAGGACAGTATAATTTAAGTGCAATATAACTTTCCAGAATTTTATTTATCTCTTTAGTTTTTAATCTGTCTTTATAATGTTGATTACTTTCTTGGGTTGTTAACTATGTTTTCAGGAATGATACAATCTGTAATGAAAACACTCTTTCCAGTTAATTTATTTTTAACCTATAATAATACACTTTTTTAATGGTTGTCTCTGTGGAATAGCACTTAGTCTGAAATTACTGTAAGAACTGTCTGCTAGTTAAAGTGAAAATTTTTCTTTTTTTCAACAGTAAAAGTTTATAATCGATTGCTGTTTTACTTCTGCATATGTTATGCTGATTTACAGATTAAAAAGAGAGGCCACAAAAAAGAGAAGCTCTTAGAAAAATAAAGAAATCAATCCATACCTGTAATAAAGTGCCAATGAAAAAAATATAATGTACTGTTATTTTGACCACTTTATGTTAATTTTAATGTAGTAAAGAAAGAAATTGAGGTTTTAAACCAGATAAATTCAGCGCTCTGGTGTAGCACCAAACCCAAATCCAATTATTTTGCCTAGCCTTCTGTCAGCATCTTTTTCTTATTGAATTTAAACCTAAATCAGCTCGCTTTTCCCATTCCATTGTCTCACTAATATTGAGTTATTTCTGTGCTATCATTGTATGACTGGTGAAATGGAAATGGGCATTAAGACTTTTTAATGATAACACAGAGCAGAATGTTGCAGCCATACACCTCTATCCTGTCCATAGAGGATGTCTCAAAGTTCTGGACAGTTTAGTTCAATTCCCTTGACAATGCTACCCCTTTTTGTTGCTGTATATTAATAATTCTACCAACTTAAATCTTGTTAATTAAATAAAAACTGCTATACTTCCTGTAGTGATCTGAATACCTCTCAATAACCTTACTTTCAACTCATACTCTGATCATAGAATCCTAGAATCAGATGGGTTGGAAAGGACCTCTGAGATCATCAAGTACAACCCTTGATCCAACACCACCACAGTTACTAAACTATGGCACTCAGTGCCACATCCAGTCTCTTCTTAAACATCTCCAGGGACAGAGAATCCACCACCTCCCTGGGCAGCCCATTCCAATGCCTGATCACCCTCTCTGTAAAGAATTTCTTCTTAATATCCAACCTCAACCTCGCCTGGCAGAGCTTGAGACCATTCTCTCTTGTCTTACTGATGGCTGCCTGGGAAAAGAGACCAACCCCCACCTGGCTACAACCTCCTTTCGGGGAGTTGTAGAGAGTGATAGTTCACTCTGTGGTAGTTGGGAAAAATCAGTTGAAGTTGGAAGAATCAGTTTAGGAAAATGGAAAGGAGGAAAACAGGGGGAAGGACACAATTTCACTTAGTAATAGAAGTTTGTGCTACACAGCATTTATGAGTTGAAAATTTTGTCTAATTATTGTATATTTGTTGTAGGAAACGTACAACTGTAGCAAACCTGCGGTTTCAGTGCAGAGGAAAATCCAGAGATGCATTTTTGGATTTGGGATAGCTAGAGTCACGTGATTTGAAAAAGTTAATAGGTCACTCCAAAGTGTTCAAGAGTTGTTTAGGTTGGTGATCACTCCTAAAAGGAGATACTGGTTTTGAAAATGGAACTTAGGTTACAGGAAAAAAAACCTCTTTGTGAAGTGAGCAGTCCTGAGGCTATATACATCATGCATCATCATAGCTGGGAGATCCCTTGGATTCCCAAAACAGTGTAACTGTTATCATAGCAGAATACTTCAGTTGGTAATCTTTTCCTCCAGGCTGCTTTTCTTGGGACAGAACTGGTCTACTGTTGAGGACATATTGCTTTGTGTTCTAGAGGTATTGTACAATCAGTGCAAACTGACTGTTGCACAAGACACTGTTGAACAATTTAGCTGTATTTTCAGTTGGTGTAATTGTTGCCACGTGTTGCCATGTGTTTCTACTTAGGCAGGGCAGATAATGTTTGTGGGTTTATACATTTATTCATTACAGAGCTCATCTTCTTGCAGTTTAGGCTGCAAGAAAAAAATTGCCTTTACAAGATCTCATTATGCTCTCTAGTCTTGAACTGGAGAGGAAGAGACCTGGAAGAGATTGACAAATAAAATATGTTTCACTAAGATCTATCAGAAAATGCACATTTTATTCATCAAGGTTAGATACTGACTTCAAAATAAACTTTATGTGGTTTCACGGTGTACTTGGCAGAGCTAGGTCAATACTTGAACTCAACAATCTCAAAGGTCTTTTCCAACTTAAATGATTCTATGATTAATAATTCTCATAGTACCTTCATAATTATGTTTTTGTCCTTAGTTATTTTACCTCTTTCTCTTACTGAAGTGTCATTAAATGATTAACTTGTGAACAAAATAAGAAATTAAGTGGAAGAGACAACCTCAGGCTCAGTTCAAAGCTGATTCTCCAAATAGACATAAGGTAATAGTTATACATCCCAAAGGAAAAGCACAGAAAGTAGAATGTGAGTCCTCCCACATTTAGCTGAATTAATTGCTGTTGAATTTAAGCATTCAGAATTTAAGTAATCAGAACTCATATCTGAAGCTTCTGCTACAAGAGTGGATGGCAAGGGTGTGAAAGAGACACAAATACCTCTAAAAAGCAATTTGTCCTCATCATGAAAATGTCAGCTTTCCTTCATTGACCACACAGTGGAATCAAGGACAAGGACAGCTCTCTTGGACTAGATGTATAGCTTCTAGAAACTCTAAACCCAGCATTGCTGAGTTGATTATGCTTCACTAAATTGTACTGAAAATCTTTCCAAACTAAAGAAAACACCATTCCTCATCTGAACTTCCCCACTCACATAGATAAATTTCATAAAAGAACAGATGACAGCTCCAAAAGTGAGTGTAAAGGAAAATTATGAGTTTATCAGCACAGAGGGCACTTCCAAAGGCAGTAATAAATGATGGCATTAAAGATAGGCTGCTGTATAAATGAGAAATAAAATGACATAAAACTACTGAAGTGCTATACACACATTGTACATATGTTTGCCTGTAGAGGATGAAAAAGAAGATTTAAATTTGTCTACTCTGAAAGAGATGAGTTTTAACATGTTCCTAAGATGGGCTTGCTGATGTGAAACTGCAGGCAAGCATTGTATTTTGAGAACCTTTTAATGTGCAGCCTTGTGAGTCACCTTAGCACTTTCCATATGATTTTCTAGTGTGTTAAAGCCCTACTCTGTATTGCCCCTTCTCAGAATCATATTTGCTTGTCAGGGACTGAGAGGGATGAGGAAACTATACTGTCATTATTTGGACCATCTTTGAATAATACATGAAATGCACCACTTCAGTGATTAAGGAGCTGTTTCAGTTCTTAGGTTTCTTTTTTTCCCCAGGGAAGCCAATGAAAGTTACTTCTTTTTTTGTTATTCCTCATATTTTTAAGAGTTGTCCTTTACTCACCAAAGTGCGTCCACTGTTTAAATGTGAACCAGCTTCATCTTGCAGAGTAAGATTGCAGTGAACATTTTAGTCTTACCCTGTCTCTAATTAGAATGATTATGAACATCAAATTCACATCTCCATTCTCCTTTTGAAGTACATAGTGTTTAACCTCCACTCCTGTTGATTAAGCGTGAAAAATACTTCTTTACTGTTTTGACATGTAAATCATTACCCCCCACAGCATCGTGACTTGACTGCTCTGAGCATATGGTAATTGCACTGCCAGCTCTGGAAGCACACTTCCCAATCTCCAGCTGGAACTGCTACTCCTGTGTAATTGGTAGTATGCTGCAGATGATTCCTGCAGTACCCTAGCTGTGGTTTATTCTGTGTTACACCTTCTTCACTGGAAACTCTGCCCTGGTATTGACTGGCAAATGAAAACATGGCAGGATATGACCTTGGGTGTCAGAAACATCAGCTCATCATTGATTTTTGGGATAAAACTGAGTGTAATATGAGTTTTATGAGAAGAGGAAAGAGAGACTGTACCCAAAACGTTTGTTGTGATTTCTGTAGGAAAAAAATTAAAATCAATAAATCTTGTTTAAGGGAACTAAAATATGGGCACTAATACATAATATCGTAGTGATTAAAAAGTCAACTGGGTGTTTTTCTCATCCAAAGAATTCGGTAGTTCATACATTAGCTAAATCCCTGCAGGTCACAAGCAGCTTGCTTCAATTAACATAATCAATCCAGAGATTAAAAAAAAAAAAATCTCCTCTGAATCTCAATTTTGTAGTCTTCTGAGTAGTCCAGATTCTACTCTAAAACCTAGACAGCTGGTAATTCCTAGAGATGGAAACATAGCATTGAGCTAACTGCTCTAAGTAAGAAATAGCACCAACATTTCAATGGTAGTGGACTTCCCTACTCGTCATTTCCACTGGGAGACTGGAGAAAGATCAGCAAGACTTTTGTGTAGAAGACCATGTGAAGGATTCAACAAAGTTGGCAGGAACTTGGGGTTTTTTTCCAGTTTTTTTTTAGCTTTACTGATGTTGCCTGCTCTGAAGAGGCTGCTTGCTAACAGTATTCCCTTTTTTTTTTTTCAATGAAAGAAAACATTGTTATGAGCTATTTACCTAGTATGCCTCCTCTCCATTTTTTATAGAAACGCTACTGTCTCGATAACTAAGGTGACTCAATTTTCTTACTGAGTTTCTGATGCAAGAACTAATAGATAATTTATGTATGTGTTTATAGTTTCATGGAATTTTAGATGCTGGCATTTCTGTTGTTGAATTGGGAAGTTTAATTCTTGCGTACTGGCAGTAAGCAAAGAATCGGGTTTTTTTGGGTGTACAACCCTTTATGCTAAACTTCTTCCTTTTATTTTCCATTTCACTGCCCTTAAACTGTGAGGTGGTCATTGGAGCTGTAACTAGAGCATTTTGACAAATGAGCCATCATCTGACAGAACTAGAAAAAGAAGCGACCTATTTCTCATGAGTTAAGGAATTTGATAACAGCTGTCTACGTTTAAGTCTGAAGTTTCTAGTTTGGTGTTATATGGAAAGATGTATAAAAGGGCAGTACATGTACAACCAGTATCTTTCAAACAAATATGAGGAAAAAATATATTTTTTTTTCTATGCAGCTGAGCTATATAAAGAGGTTTTTTTCATATTACTAGGCAAAGTTAAATGCATTAGTTTGGTAGTGTTTACAAAGTTACATATTAAATGTATTAGAATCTGGTATGACTCCTTAAAATTGTTTTTTAATTATGGAATAAAACTGCTGAAAATTAATTTGCTTTCTAGTGCATGTTTTCTAATTTAAGATTTCCTGACAGAAAGTTAACTGCCCTTTTATGCAAGTAGGTTATGATGAATTACATTCTATTTAAAAATTTTTATAAATGGTAAGAATAATAATTGGTAATTTAGTACCATTATCATGCCTTTATCACTTCTCAAGGAGCAAATTTTCAGAATGGGGGCAGAATAACATTTAGCAATAGTAACATTTTATATATTTGCTATCATTCAATTCCACCACAAAACTGACCATTCATTTCTTCTCTTCATTCAGCGTGGATTACAGGGAGCCTTACTTTCATTATAATCCTTCCTGATATTGACTTCTGCAGATATCTTATTCACAGAGCATGAGTCGGATAAAACAATCTGCTTTGGGTTGCGTATAATGTTGTTTTTCTCTGAAGGTCAGCCTATGATCAGACTGGAGCAGCTTCTCGTTATTTTCTATTGCTACTCCAAACAATCTTTACTGAAGGCTTTCCAGCAATGTGTGACCTCTGTTTTTATACTTTTCACAGATTTCGCAGGCTGTCACTACCACTCAGACATCAGTAACACAGACAACTGTAATGGAAACTGTAACTATGGTGACCACAAGAGAACAAATCCTGGTTAAGCATGCTAAAGAGGAACTCCCACCACCTCCACCCCACAAAAAAAGGCAACTCCTTGTGGATTCAGAAATTAGGAAGAGGTGAGAATCATCAAGGAGACAGAGAGAGAATACTGATAGAGTCTGGATGAAAATGCAAATACAGTCATTTGACTGCAATAGTTTGCTGTATACTTTTTTTTAACTTAAAATTGTATTTCTGTTCTCTCTATTAAGGTACCAAGTGATTATTATCATTCTTTGCTCAGTATGAGTTATGGATTATATTGTGCTTCTATTCCAACTATTTAGCAGTACAGAATGTTAATAATTACATCAATACCATTGCATAGTAATTATAGTCAGTTGAAGTCCTTATGTATGGCATCATGGGGGTCCTGCTTGACTATAGCCTTGCAACTTCATGGGCAAGAGGCATTCCATTAATTCTCAGCTTTTTACATTCTTTAAGAAGTATGGCTAGAATACTAATAGTGCAGATATTGTCTGGTTTCTAAAGTTCATGTATTTTTTTGTGCTTGTGGGTCAGCAGCAGAAATAACAGTTCTGCAGAGGTAGTTACTATTTGGTGAAATGTGCATTACCATTATTTTTTCCTGTGTAACTCAAGTACAAGTGACAAGGGATTTTAGACTGATGTTAAACGTTAGTTGAAACCATGAGAAAAAATTTTAATGTGTTTAAGTAGAATTGGCTCAAACAGTAAATTTTTAAATTAGGTGCTAAGAAACTAGACTTCAAAAGTTCATTGTAATATTTGTTTTGGAAATATTTTTTGGTATCCAAATAAACATGAATTCCAAGGTAACAGATTCAAGGACTGAAAGTGACCTGAAGCTTCATTCAGTATCTCATTTCCATAGAAAATATCGTTTAGTTCAATGTGTTTACGAGGGTAAGGTATTTTCTTGTAAAATAGTATTTAACTTATTAAGAAGAATGAAATATACCAAGAACAGGAGATTTTTTTCAATTGAAGGATTATATAATTTAAAAAATAGGTACTTGCTTATACATAAGCATCTGCAATGGGATTTATCTCTTTGATCATTCTAAAAGTAAGGTTTCTAGTTTAGCCTCATTGTTTAAGAAGGCTGTATATATGATGTAAGAAGAGTGATTCATCTCTGTGTTAAATTGGGTAAGTACTACTATGGAAAGTGCTTATCCTAAATAAGTAACTTCATTGGCTAACCTTGAATGAATTTAATCTATCTCCAAAGTCCTGATTTGGAATCTGTTTTTCCCACATCCTAGGTTACCATTAAATGGTAGTGAGAGTTGTATTTTCCTAATAAATTGCCAAGCGCTCAAAATAATGCACAGTGATGACTTTGAGCAGACTTGCAATTCTTGAATGTTTTTGAGGGATTCTTAGATGGCATTGCTGTTACTTAACAGAAATTATAAGCATTAGCACCCCTCTTAATGTTTCAGTGGTAATGTGCAAAGATCTGAACCAGGATCAAGGCCCTGTTGGCTTTTATGCAAGAGTAAACCTTTATTATAGGGTAGTCCCTACCATTAAAATAGTGATACTCTTTATTTTGAAATTGAAAAGTTAAGAATGAAAATTTTCCTGCAGTTTTGAAGTATTTCAATAATTGTTATTCAAAACTTTTCACTTTTTCCTATTCCAAACTAAATGTTCTTGGAATGACCTTACTTGATAAGGAAGTAAAATAGACGACTGTTCTAAAGGAAAGCATTATCTTAGTTAAAACTAAGTGAAGTAGAATGATTTCTTTATGTCTATATTTTTTCAATTCTGTAAGACAATTTTTGCTATAGGTAGTTATGCATTATTATGAAATCAGAAACCAACTTGCAGTAGAAATTCCTTTCTCACCTCCTATATATGTAATGTTAGCATATATTTTCCTTCTTGGTAATTTTATTTTGATTTACCTTAATACTGAAAATAAAATAAGCATGATACAGAAGACTACAGACTTCATAATCTTCATGCAAGCAAACTACCAAAGGGTAAAAAGTAGCTGGATTGTGGGAAATTTTTATGTTCTGAAATCCCTTTTTTTATATAAACTGAGAATTATAAATTCTTCAAGTGTTTTAGCCATTGTCTGTTTAAAGCACTGCAAATAGCAATGCTATGTATAAATTTGATTGATCCTTGTACAGGAAATAGGACATATTATCAAATTTGAGACTATGATTGCTTGTAGATGTATTATGGACAGATCTGCTACCACATTTAAAGAGTGGGGTTTTTTTACCATGTAACTTCCGTTTAATTTTTGGGTAAGAACCAAGATGGAAAAATCTTTAGTTCTCAGTCTTTGTCTAGGATGACTTTAGATAATGGAGTAAGTTGTGGTTTCTTTCATATATTTAAAATCAGAGTCATTTTCATTGCTGCACAGGTTAGATTTTTGTTTTGATCTGGCAGAAAAGAAATCTGAATTGTAGAATGAAGAAGGGACTTAATTGTTTAATACATTTTAATATGCTCTTTTACTGTTTCTTGTGCAGAAGTTACTAGATTTAACAGTGCAATTGTACCAGCACATGAGAACTAGTTCAATGTGACTGTTATACCTGTGAGTAGACCTACATTATGGTAATGTGCAAAGTAAACAATGTTACAGATGTCCACAGCTGTGCAGCAGGATGAATGATGGTTATATTATCTGAAGGCAGGATTTCTTTATTTAGATAATCTTTTTGGCGTTTCTGACTGAACAGACCAAAAAGGAAAAAACAACAGCTTATGGACCTTTTCTCTCCAGAAAGTCTAACTTAAGTTTATGCTTAAAATAACAATTCTTGTTATTGTTTTTAATTAATATATAAAAATGTGGTCTTGGAACTGAATAGATTTTACAGTATGGTGTTGTCTTTCTCAAAGACAAGAAAAATAAATTGATACTAAGTATAAACATAGTAATGGGAGAAGAAAACTCCCCTTAAAATTTGGGTACTCAACTAAAATATCTGTGCTCATTGGTGACTAGACACTTTGTTGATCAATGTGGTTTTTTTGCTGGGAGAATCTCATAGTTGTATTCCCAAACAGCCAGTCATTTATTTTGGTAGTCCGTTGTTGGTCACAAGATCTTTCAGGGTTTTTTGTATGTATTTAGTTGTAGCTTCACCCAAGGGCAAACAAAGCCCCTAGTATTGCACACCTTTTGATTTTTTAAATAAACAAGAGAATGGGGTTTCTCAACGTATCTCTCCTACATTGTTCTATACTTTCTATATGTTTACATTCAAAACTTTAATAATAAATATAATAATAATATAAGACCCGGGGAAGGTCTTTATACCTTCCAGCCTGCACATTGTATTTTTTAGGTGAGACACAGTGTGCGCGGAACTGAGCCCACCCTTTAATCCTAAGGTTCATCTGCCGGGGCCAAGCGAGCTTGGACGGTGGCAGCGAGGTCCTTAGGACGTAGGTGGGTTGCCTTTAAGGGCTAACGAGCCCCACCTGCCCGGGAGTGGCCCTGACCGGGAATCGAACCCCGGTCTCGGCAGTGACAGCGCCGCGCCCTTAACCACTAGACCACCAGGGGCTCCATTCAAAACTTTACCTGAGCACTTAATGACTAATAGTTGATGTTTATGTACTCTTTAGCTTTTGTTTGACAAAAATAGCCCCTAGCAATTATCGAAGGCTTCTCAGAGGCTTCTGAAGGTAAATAAACAGATTTTGTTGGCTACTTTCTGCTGTGACATTGCAACAACCTGAATGGTGTTGCTTGGTATTTTGAGGCCAGGGAGCGAAAGACACAGTGGGGCTTTTCTGAGGTGGTCAATAATGTTTCCAGGTTGTGTCAGCTTCTTTCATCTGTTCTCAAGCTTTTGTCAGCATTGTTGCTTTAAAAGAGTACGCCTGAAATAAATACATCAGGCTAAATTGCCACATGTTTTGAAAGATTTGTGCTCTAATTTTCTTCTCTGTGAACTAAATGTTTTGAAAATACTAGAAACCTCTCCAAGAAGGAAGAAAGAGTAGTTTGGTCACTCTGTGAATATTGAGTTAACATAAGAGTATGGTCTCTAGCTTCCAAGCTGAGGAGAAAAAAGTGAATGGTTAAGATTGAAGCATCAAACTTTCTAGAGTGCTTTTTACTTTTATATTTGCAAGAACTTTGGCAGGATTGGAAGTATGAGAATCTCCATTTATGCTGAAGAAATTGAGGAGAAGCAAGTTGACTTGTAGACCAATAGAATACACAGGACTGAATGTCACATTTCCATTGCTCCAATTCACTGTGGCATGAATGCATGGGAAAGCAGCTGTTGATTTTTCTTGCCTCCTAAAGCAACTTTTTACCATAAGTGGTGGAGAATATAGATAAGAAGCAGATTAGTTTTTTTATTATTATTATTTTGTTATTCCATCTCTACCCTCCCCAAAAAATCTAAAATTACCTCAAAAGTAATGCTTCAAAATGTCATAGTAATTCAGGCACATGCTAAGTTCTTTTACTGAGCAAAGAAAAGCTCTTTTTCCCAAAAGAATCAATTTGAAACTGAGACAGATAAAGTACTTGGAGCTGTATATTAAAATCTTGAAAGTACATATTAGGCATTAGGACTAGAGATAAATGTAACACCACTGAAGTTATAAAATAAAGAAAGCATGTAAATAGGAGAAAGGGTTACAAGGTGATATTAATTTTCATGATATTTATGTATCCTGCGAAAAACAAGTTAGTTGTGTATCGTAGAAAAATCTGAAAATTGTTTGTGTTAAGTTTTTAAACAGCAAACAGGTTAGAGATGCTTAACATTTAATTTAAACATATTTGTAATATTAATGTACTTGAATAATATGCAAAGATACTTTTCTTAGCCATTTAGTAAATAACTCTGTACATGTTTCCTAGTGTTTCCAAGGAAAGTCTATTTGTTATAACTTTATTATCAGTATAATGTTAATCTGAAGATTTGAAAGAGACTTGATGCCCTTTGAAGAGAAAGGCATCTTAAAACAAGATAGTTGCTCCATCTAGTGGTTTTTTTATTTAACAAATTTTAAAACAATTTTTTGAAAAGAAAGGAGCCTTCATTTCTTTACAAATTGTTATATTTGAGATTTTAGTATATTT